GCAAGAGAGACATATTTAAACCACTGCAGCCATAACCAAAGCACAGGCAAAGACAGAGAGCATCTGGGCCACTGTGAATCCCAGGAAAACCACTAACCCTAAATAAAAACTTGTCACTTAGCAATGCCTCTGTAGCAGAATGAAAGTATTTTTCTGGTTTTCCTCCCACACGGAATGCAGAAAGATTCTGAAAACAGCCAGTGAGGCTTTCTGGTCATTTTACACACACTCCCTTATTATTTTACTACCTCTTGGAACTCTGAAAAAGCCTTTCTCTCGTCTTTGGGCAAAAAGGGAACTAAATATGGGTTTATGGAAACAAAAAGGCCCTTTAAATTAAAGCTTACTGAGTTATTAGCTTAGTATGAAAACCAAGATATTGTATAGTTGCACCTAATCGGCAACTGCGAAGCATAGCACTGCCCAAGCAGGAGGGGGACAGCCGTCTGGCTAGGGGAGCTCTGTCAGACTAATAACTTTGAGTGTCACTAAATCATAGGATCATAGAATGGTTAGGGTTGGAAAGGACCTTAAGATCATTTAGTTAATCATAAGCCATGACATGAGGTGAAGCCTTTTCAGCACACAAAGTGCAGTACCCGGGCAGGGATATAAAGCCTTCTGCCAGTCCCGTTTGCTCAGCAGGGGTCACACCACAGGCTAATCGCATTACCTTTCAGCTGCTGCACCCTCTGCAGCAATTTACTGTTGCACCACAGAGGGGTGTTTTGAAAACAAGTTCAACCTAAATCTAAACTGAGCTTGGGACAACGATCATAAATTTGTTTTGAGACCCAAAGTGAAAGGAAAAGGAACGAAAAAGTCACTGATAAACAATCTGACCCAACAATCCTTACCTGCTAGCTGTACAGTAAGGGAGCACTACCCTGCGCCAGCAGCTAAGGTCAGAAAGGGGATGCTCCTTTTGAAGATCTACCAGTGTAGCACAGCTCGGCTCTCATCCTCTGTCAACTGTTTTTCTAGGATCTGTGTAGAAAAAGCCAAGTCTGCCTTCTAGCTTGCCCATCCTTGTATTTTGGTCAGAATGGGCAAATAGGCTGTCAGATCTGTGCGTCCTCTCCCTTCCTCCCCTCTGGATAGAACACACATTTGGGCTTCAAGCCTGCTTCCCCTGGCCTGGCACACTGTTGAGGGACAAAATCAAGAACACTGAAATGGCAGAAGGAAGCCAATCTCACATGATGCACTGGGGAAAGACAACACGCACCAAGGCCTCTGGAAAACAGACTCTCTCCTGGCTTCCCAGCTGTGTGCAAATTTATGAGGTTTGAATGAAATTCAGCTAAAGCACCCAGCCAGCGACTGCTTATCCCAGATGAACTGAGGCAGGAGTCACCTGATCACGCTCCATGCTGCCTGGGGTTAGCCCTGTCAATATCTGAAATACCATCAAATAACATTAACCCTTCTGTTGGCACCCCAGTGCGGGAAGAACTTCACACAAAATTCTTCAAACCACAATGAAAACACACAATTCGAGACGCTGCAGTGACCCCCGCACATGGATGTGTTACAGGGCTTCGACAAGTCAAGGGCAGCACTTAAGAGAAGCGGAAGCAGGTAGTTAAGTGAGACACTAGGTTTACTTGCTCCTATGCACCTATGAACATATGGATTTCTTTACATCTTGACCCCAGAGAAGGGGCATAAAACTTGAAAATTGCCACCTGGTTTCTGCAGTTGTTTTTCCATTTAGGGATTAAACAACATCTAAACCCACATGTGCGTATTTTCCTGTTGCAAATAGACAGCACAGACAATTGCAAAGCAAGGAGATGGGTGTGAGAAAAAGGATTTCTACTGACCCAAGAGGGGGAAAATAAAGGGATGAGCTTCGGCCTGCCAAACAGCTGGTTAAACTTCAGAGCTCAGTTTGAGGCTGTTCAGAGGTTTGTCTACCAATAGCAGAAAAAACACCTTCTCCTCTGCCTGCTTCCCTTTTTGCACTGCTTCCCCAACACCAACAACCAGCCGGTGCTCCATGCTTGTCTCCTCACCTGAGCGAAAAAGCAGCGTGTTTTTAAACACTGTTTTCAGAGAGAAGTACAGGGGTCTGGTCAGATGAGTGCTCAAATGCTTTTCATGTGTTACCACTCCTTCCTTCAGCTGTTACTGGCTACTCCCATCCCCCTGGGCCCCTACACGCTGCTAACCCATTGCAGTGCAACCTGTGGTGGGGTTGTTGAGCCCATCTCGGCACAGCGCCAACCCACCACTGCCTTTGTCTTGGCCGGGGTCCCAACAAGAGACTGCAATGCCTATTAATCATAAACCCTGTTGATTAAATCCATCTAGCTATTTCACCCAGCTACAACCAGGGGCGAAGGCTGTCCCACAGACAGCTCCGTCCTGTGATCCAGCTGCCTGGCTGTGCACGCAAAGCCAAGGCAAGAACTAGGTCTTCATCTGTGTTGAATTTGCTGCTGGTGCTGGGTTTTCCACCTGCATGCCACCACAGTCTGACATTGCCAAGTGCGAGAATTGTCAGGATTACACGAGAAACTGAAAAATTCCACCAAGGCCTGAAGGAGACTGTTAAATCCTTCACTGGACATTTGCAAGGATGAGTAAGGAAGGATTGTCCCTATTCCCATGCCACAGACTCCATGCTTCATGCCCTGTGAAAAGGGTATGCTGGGATCTTGAGCACAAGTCCAGAGCTGTTTAGAAAATGAAACACAAAGATCCCTCGAACATTGCTTTGTTTCTATTCATAACCACAATTCCATTTGCATTGATGTTTCCTGACCAATTCTCTCCTCAAAATAATTGATGGGGAAAAGATCAAGAGATGTAATTAAATGAGAAACAAACAGAAAACAAAGGGGAGAGGGTAAATAGGCATGCGACTTCTGGTCAGAGAAGGAAGAGGAGCAGGTGGTGGAACTGATGAGGGAGATTTAATGAACTGCGATTGACTTCGAATAACAAAGAAGGAGGAACCTAATCCTACCATTGGATCTGTACACATAGGGACTTACAATAACAAATGGTAATCAATCCATCAGCCTTAAACTAAAGATAAGGTGGGCAGGAAGGAAAGGACAGAGTTTATTCCCTCCTTCCCCCTCTTCCCATCATCAAAGTAAATCTGTGTGTGCCCATGTCTCTGTTGTCAGAATGAGGGACTGACAACTCTCCCTTCTCAACCAAAATGGTCATCTTCCCATGCCTCACTATGCCACCACAGGCAGGTCTCTTTGTAGGCTGCCCAAGGAATTTAGGGTCTTGGTTACCCCGGTTCTGCAGTGTACTTCACTTGACAGCAATCAAGGCTCAGCAGCCTCAGAAATATGCTCGTAGGACTCTGCGTGCAAATGCTTCCTGAGCTTTAATCAAACACATATCACAGATAGTCCTGCATGACAGAAAGCAGAGCCACCAGTCCGCAGACCTGCCAAGAATAGCCTCATCTGCGAATCCAGCTTTTTGCTCTTTTGTATCACTTTGGCCCTCGCTTTCTCATTCTAGGACAAGCTGCAGAAACAGTCTGGGTTTTACTTGTTATCTCCTTGTTTCAAGCTGAAGGCAAGTTCACTAGATTTTCTAAATATATACCCAAGTTTTATGAATCCTCATTAAGTTTTCTATGATAAAGTTTCTATTTTAAAGCCCAGATGCTCCAAAGAGAGCTGCACCAGTTGGACACCTGTTTCCCATATCTTCAGCCAAGCATGGCTGCACACATGGTTTTCTGTGTGGGATTTGCCCTAGTGTTTAGGCCTGGCAGGCAGTTTCTCCCAGAGAAAATGCTTCTAACCCAGTGTCTCCAGGGCCAGTAACTAATACTTATTTCTGCTTGACCAGCAGGCAGAAAATGCATGAGCAATCCATAAAGATCACTGTTGACATACATTTAAAAGTGAAAACCTGTGACTTACGGGTAGTATCAGGAGGTGGTTAATATAATTTTCTGTTTCTGTGATAACCTTCTTATGTGATTTCCAAGCATGATCCATATTTCAGTATATTCCAGTTATTCTGTAAGAATACTGCCAGCCAGATTAGGAGGCGTCAGGGAGGAGGTGCTCAGATATGGGGTTGAAGCTACACAGGACTGCAGTTTGGGACAGGGGCTGAGCAAGATGGGGTCTGGCAGAGAGGGCATCAGGAGGGCTTCCCAACCAGAGGTGTTTCCAACACAGCTACAATTTGAACAAAGCATTTGTCCATTAAAACAATTCCACCAGATCTCCTGTATTCTGAGGAAAGGGCAGGGCAGGCACAGATGGACAATGACATGATGTCGAGCCCTGCCATATCAGATCAGGAAAGAGGGAAGAGCAGGGGAAACAGAAATTTGTGAGCCACCAAAGTTAAATTGCTCTCCTTATCTCTAACTCCGCAAGAGGAGCAGGAAGGACATCACCCAAGCACCCCTTAAATGTTGTTTCCCCTTTTCCTGCTTGCTCAGGTCCTCTTAACCTGTACATTGACGTCTGGGTGTTCCAGCTTCACAGCAGCTGAGGAGCCCTCACCAGGTTGCCAGAGAAGAGAGGAGCATGCCTCACCCCTGGCTCAGGGCATGCCAGCAAGCACTGTGCCCTGCCAGCATGGACCCCTAGCCTGAACAGGTGCCCCATTCTGAGCTGTTCCTACCTGGTCGTCAAAAGAGAGACTCAGCATGTTGGATGAGAACTGTGGGAATTTGGGATACTGTATGCATATGTCAAGGAAGTACAGTCAAAAGCATGGAAAGCACTAAACCACAACACTGTGGTATCTGGTCTCTGACTTTGCTCCTCCTGACTTCCACATTTGAAATAACATCATTCCTGGAGTGTGAATTCGCACTGCATGAGTGTTTTCACTGCATTTCAGATACCATGTGGGCTAACCAAAAAGTGAGATGGCACATCTTGTCACCTCCTTCAGTGGGGCAGGCTGATGGCTGCCTGCTCTCCCAGCAGACAAGCAGGGTCTAGCCCCACAGCCTGCTGTGACCACCATCTCATTATGCCGCCACCAAAGAGGGCAGTTACCCCAGCCCACTGAAACGTGACCACAAAGCATCCCAACAGGTATCATTTATCATGACCAGCTCTTGAGAAGAGAGACATTTCCCAGTGAGAGCACAGTACCACTCACCTGCTCCCACAGAAGCAAACACCAGGTTCTCTGGAGGAGCAGTCAGACACATATCCACACACACATTAGTAAGTCACCACCTCACAGCCCTCAGCTTCCTTCTGCTGGCAACTTCAATTTTACTCAGGCTTTTTGCTAAGGGGCTTCTTCTCTTACTTGTTGTTCAATGGGGGCCTGAAGCAAAGCACATCAATGGCGAATGAGCAGGGAGAAGGCTGAAGCAGACCTCAGCAGTGCCTGATCCCCCTCTCAGTCTTGCAGCTTTGGGACCTCTCCATCTTCTTTTTACCTTGGAAAACCTGGCTGCTCGCCACAGCATAATATAGCAATGGGGCAAAGGGAGGAAGCAAGTTTAAATTTTATTTATTTTAGTGCAATCATTAGGATTATGTCGGGGGAAAAAGCATTAATACATAATCTTTTCACTGTGCTATACAACACTGGCTGCTTTTAATTTAGAATTAAATTGAAACACTCACTCAGAGCGGCTTTGAACAGCAGCCAAGGCCTTCTCTTGCATTGTGTGACCAGCTGGGTAGCCTTTCCACCCTTTTTGTTTTGGTCCATGGTGCCTTTTTTGAGGCCAGCACTGAGGGTCGGTCAGTGAAGGTACTCATCACCCTTCCACAAGTGCTAAAGGTCCCATTGCCATGGAGCTGGCACACGGAGCACAGGTGAAGGGGGAAGCCTCCATCAGGTTAAACCTCAGCAAATAGAGCTCCACACCTACAAGTGGTTCACAGATTAAAGAGAGAAGGGACATATTAAAAAGTACATCAAAATGTACAGTTCTTAAAAATGCTAAATAGCAGTGATTTATTCTTTTCTCGATGGCACACATAATTTTGCACGCTTTGTTGCACATGATGAGGCAAGTTCACACAAGGAGAACGCTGTTTGGAGGTGTAAACAGGACAGACAAGGTTGGGTGGGGTAAAGCCAAATTTAGTTAAGTGAACTGGTCATCCTGTTTTGTTCATGCAACAAGCCTGCTCCAGAGAGTTCTCACCAAGCCGATGAGAAAAGTGCCTTGGTCACCCTGTTCATTTTAATCTATATAAATACTAGGTTTTGTCAGGCTAAAGAATCCACTGCAGACTCAAGTGTTTTCCTTAATTATTGGCATTCACTGAATGAAAGAGCAAGTTTAAGGGGGGGGGGGGGGAAGACTGCCACCCTTTCAGTGCTGCTGTGAAGGGAGCTCTGCTTATCACAACAGGTGCAAAGGCCACTCACAAAACCAGAAGCAGTTCAACACTGAAAGGCTAAGAAATTACTTATTCTCTTTGTCAGCTGCTCACACAAGCAGGGTAAAGGCTACTTGGAAGGACAGACGGGGTAAAAAGAAGGGTTAAAGTTTGTCACAGAAAAAAAAAAGTGAGCAAAAAAAGACAAAACACACACAAGCTCACTGGTTCACAAGAGACTCTGGGAGATATATTGACCTTAAAATATATATATACGTGTATTTTTTAAAAGGAAGAGAGAATAAAGAAAGCAGGAAAAAAATTACATCCCCACATACAGCAGGAACGAGCAGCACCAGCAGGCTGGGAATGGGGGGGGGGAATTTTAACAGTCTGCCACTCCAGCTGAATGGGGAGGGGAACAATGCTGGCTGAAAGCACAGCATTCCTGCCCCTGAGCACCCACAGAAAGGGGCTGTGCAGGTCTTTCTGATGGCTCCCTCTAATTACGCTTTCTTGTGTATGGCAATTCATGGCCAGCTCAGAGAACGTACCCGTTTCATGTCGGAAGGGTGATCTGTACACACTTATGGGGACAGCACATTGGGAAAATAATATAGTTTGAAAAAACAGAAACCTCCTCTGGTGAGGAGCCCACGGTTTTCAGGGTAATGTTTCTCCTTGGGTTCATAGCTGGGTTTTATTTCCTGCACCCTTCCCCTCTCCAGATAGAGGCATCAAAAGTAACTGAAACTAGAATTTTGTCTTATAACACCCTCCCATTAATCCCTAGATCTCTCTTAAGTGCTGCATAAATTTCACCTTCTCTTCACACAGCTCAAGGAGGTTTTACACCTGGTGCATCTTATTTTCTAAAGATGATGGTTCTGTTTATTTTAACCAGGCCTGGAATGATGTGCAAACCAGCCATGCCTGTTAGATGCTGATTGTTCCCAGTACCAGATGGTCAAACCTTCCTCTTTTAAGACAGTTAACTCAAAGCCATAAAAGAAAACATCAAAAAATGAAAATATTCATAATCAACAACATCAAAAAACACCCTGTGGTGGGGAAAAAAACAACGCTCAATGCTGGCACTGTGAGACAGAAAAAACTCAGGGAAAATAAAGTGGTTTGTTTCCAGACCCTAGAGGTCCAGCATGCAAAGGAGGGAATTCACTCATCAGGAAGTTTCCACCAGAGGCAAGCTAACAGAAGGAATTCCCTAGCTTAAATATGACAGATGTTCATACCTCTGCTACCCAGAAGCAGTAAAAGCCCCCTGTGGTTATTCTGACTGCCCTGCTAAATGAAAGCGAGTTAGAGTACTAATAAAACATAGTGATGCAAGTCACCACTGCCTGCACCTGCAGATTCTCCAATACCCACTCCTGGTTTCACAATTGACAGCCAAACCCAAAGTATTTCTACTTCATTTTAGCACCATGAACTATCTCTTGCCATCCTCATGGCTCTTCTCCTTCCCAGACATTTTCTATTCACAAACAGTCCTAGTCTAACTGGGCCGTGAAAGCCACTCTAGGTCAGTAAGGCACACACCTTTTACAAAACCAAATTTGCCTATGGTAGGTTGAACACAGCACAGGGTTAAACTGCTTGTAAAGCTACTCCAGCTTAATTAAGCCTGAGAAATCCTACTTTGAAGGTTAAATGAGTCCAACATCAGGTTGCAGGCAATCCTGTGTATGTACAGCCAGCTGGTTTGTCCTGGTTTAATAGACTCAGTTCCTCCCCACCTTCACAGAAAATCAACACAGACTTTCACACCACTAAACTGTAACTAAAGTGAAAAATATTTCCTTTAAAATCACAGCCAGGTTATGGGTAGAAACAAACAAGATACCACAAAGCAGCTTGTGAATTTTCCACACAAAGGTGTAAACGTAGAGCACAGCTGCTCTGCAGTAGTGGCTGGCATGCAGGCTCTCACCCCGGTAGACATAAGGTAGCTTTTCCTCTTCCACTGTCTTTCACCTCTCCAGGGGAAAACAGACACACAAGCTGCTTAAGGACTCTGAAGAACCAATTGTTTTCTCTTTAACCAACAAGAAATAGAAAGCCATGCAAACAGAAGAGATGCTTGTATGCCTTTCAGCAACAACTTTCCTTAACTTTCCCTAATGTTTTTTAAGATCCTGACATGAACAAATTTTGTGAGCGTTTCAAGAAAGACACAAAGCCCCTTCCAAACATTACAAGGAGAGGTGGGGCTCCAGACTTTTTCAGAGATTCTCATTCAGTTTTCTACAGTTCTAAAAAATGACCAAATCCCAGTTAAAGGGCATATACTCTGTGTCTGCACTACTGCAAACTTAACCTAAACATAGGACTAGATTTAGCAGAGAAGGTCACCTACAACGCTGTTTATACTTGAGCTAAAATAGGGTATCGAACTAAGTTAAATTGCAAAGATTAGATACACAGTCAAGGCCTCAGTGTAAGTATTTAATGAGAATCCTATGGTTGTAGGAGTCTTTCTATACCCATCAGAGTGTTAAGACTCAATCCTGCTCACAGTTACGGCACTACAGGTGGAAAACCTGAGTTCAGGATCTCCTTCTGCATATAAGCATTCATGAAATGGCAGTAGCAGAAATAATGGCATACCTTCATAAAGTATCTTAAAGTGTATTGTCATTTAAAAACAAGCCCCGTAATACACGCCAAGTAAATAACAACTACACAAAATATTTGGTAGATAATGCTGTTGAAAATATGCTGCTGTTGTAGGAACAACTGAAGACACCCCGGACCTCTCTGTTTTGATCTGGGGAGGTTCTCTATGCTTGCAAAGTCCTGCGGACAGCAGGACTCTAAAATTCTTGCTACCTCTAGACACTGGCACAACATAGATGTTTAATAACAAGGCCCACATGCCCAGTGCACACAGCACTCACTCGTCAATGTCCCATACACTGAAAAATATTTCCTGTACTAATTGGCAAGGACGGCTGTTAATCCGCCATAGAATAGCTCCCTTACAAACTCCAGCAAAATCCACTTAGCTTTCAGTCAGGCATACTTCAGAAAGTATTTGTCCTCTTTGCACTGAGATTGAGAGAGACAGAGAAAGGGTGAGATAGAAATGCTGGATGTGTAGTAGTGCTTTAGTAAAACTTCAGAAATCACGTAAGAACATGAAAGAAGCCACCAGCTCTGCACTAAGGAGAGCAAGTCGTAATTAAAACCTTGATACAGCAAGTCATTTGGGTTTATTTAAATACGTCCTTAAAGATAAATGCATTTTGTTCAAACATTTTGAGGAATATGATCCTTAAGAGAGATTAACAAGCTTTTAATAACACTTGTGTTATGAAATGTCATTATAATCAAGCAGTAAATCAATAGCATAGTAGCACATGCTGCAGAGCGCAAGGGCTGTATTTTGAGGAAAAAAAGAAAGGGCAACCTCCTCATCTTTTATGACAGTGACACATGTTATATATACCTTTGCCATCCACACATTGACATTTTTGGTACCTCTAGTCACCCTTGAGGCCATCTGTCTACATGGTAAGGGGTATATGAAAAGGGATAGTGATTTTTTTACTTCAATTTACACAACCTTCAAGACAGGTTAAAGGAAGGACCCATCACTGCTGAATGGCTGCCTACACTGGTGCACTGCCTTGTTTTATTCTACAGCTCCCTCCATCTACTCCCCTTGCAGCAGCAGTGGTCAGACCTGGCTTGAGGCTGCTCAGAGCACTCAGGGGGCAGATAAGCCAATGCAAGACCCACTGATGCCCTTCAAGCTTAGAGCTCCAAGGGGCCAGTTGTGTTCAATACCATGGTGCCGAAGCGGGGGGATGCCCAGCCAGGGGTTGGTGAATGGGGGTAAGGTCAGAAATACAGGAGGAGAGATTATCCTGAACTGAAGCTGTCAGAGTGGTGAGTGAGATAACCCATGCATTCCCCTGCCTGTCCCAGGCTGAATTAGCACATCTGGGGCCCACATTTACCACTGCTTTGGAGCACCTTTGCCATTAACACTAAAAACACATCCCGGAGGACATAAGGACTTGAGATGAAGGAGGTGAGAGGGGAAATAAGACACCTCGCCTCCCCCTCACCTTGTTCCTCCCTCCTCCCACACAGCTCCGAAACACTTTGCAACTTGAATGCTGTCAATCTCCTTATGGGTGAAATGTATTTATAGAAACCCCATCTCTGTGGCTGAACACTTTTATGGTACCAGATGTCGGAGGACATGAAGTTGATAAAATAAAGCATAGTCTGAGGAAAAGGGTCAAATTTATCTGCTGCCAGAAGTGAGAATTACAGCTTCTCTAACTTGCATGGAGCAGTGCCAGATTACGCCAGTAAACTTGCTGCTGCCAACTGGGTACAGAAATCAATGATTAGGCTGGGTATGTTGTTCAGACAAGAAGACATTTGTCCTTCACAGGAATGATTTTGCTAGAAAGGGTTAATGCTTTCTCCTTTGAAATACGGCACAGCAGCTGCAGATGACATCAGATTTTCTGCCATACTGTTTTATATCAATGAACACGAAGCATCCAGGCAAGACCAAGGACTGCTTGAGACTATAATGAGAGTCAGAGATATCAAAATAAATCATATCATTTAGAGACTTCTGGATCATATGGTTGTGTTTAAAAACAGGGATATCTCCATAATATTGGGTTATATGCAGATGGAGCAAAAGCACCAAGGGTTCAGACAATCAACCCATAAGAAACATATGGATCTTGGGTACACATGTGAAACTCGACTGCTTTCAACTAAAGCCAGCAGCCCAGGAAGATGCCAGGGTTCATAACTGAAGGATCCATATCGCTGTATTCTGGCACTATGCAGCAAAGCCAAGGAGAAATAGGTTAATTAAAATTCATATGTCATTTCCATTTCCTCTGCATGTCTACAAGACTGTTTATTCTCACCATCTGAAAGAGATTCTCACCATCTGAAAGAGATACTAATTGCTGCTTTTGGTTGGTGAGAATAAACACTACAAGAGATCAAGTTCCCTAGTGAAGCCTTCTCAGCTTTGCTTTTAAAGCCCAATGGAACAGCTTGAAAGGGCTGCTTTTATCTGCACAGCAATTGGCTTAGGATGCAAGCCTAGGGTGAAGTCCATTACCACTTGTCCACCAAAATTTTGCTGACGAACACTAGACCAATGTTTCTTACCTGTTTCTATCAGGCACAGCTCAATGCCATAAGAAGATTTCATCCGTAAATCAGGCTTAGATGCTTTGTTTCAAATACTCCCTTTTTCATCACTTGTGCCAGCACTGTGGCTGCTGAAATGATCAGCAGCAGATAGGATCCCGAAACAGGCCATTGCACACAACCTGGAGAGACACAATATGGAAACAGTGCATATATTTGCTCATCAGTATTTCAACACTGACACTGAATCAATACTGAGATGAGGTCTAACAGAGAATGCTCATGGTGTGTCTTGGAGATTGCTCATCTCCTGCAAGCTTAACACCTTGTACTAATACAGAGCACACAGTTTAGTGGTGATTTCTTCCTCCAAACCACAGATCACAGTGACAGGTGTGGGTGCTGCAGTCAGCGCCAGCCCAGAGCTGCATAGTACCCATGACTGGTTTGACTTCAGCATCACTTCATGATGGCTGTAGGTATATTTTAATTCCTAGCTGCTTAGACTTGTAGAGCCTGACAGAGACTGTAATGTGAATGCCTCCCCTGTGCCAACATTGCTGCTTTCTGGGCCATCAGAGCAACTAGAGCTAAAAACCAGTAACACATTTCAGCAGCTTCAGCAACGTAGGCTACTTCAACCCTGGGAACACGAGGCAAACAAAACTTGACAGAATCCAAAGCAAGGTGAAATCTGCCTCCTGTCAGACCCCAGCCCACCTCACAGTGATGCTGCTTCACATGCCATTCATCAAGGCCTGGGGGAATATGGTACACTTGTAGTGCAGAATAATATACCCACAGGTTTCACTGATGCCTGGTGGAGGGCTGGTACATAGCTCCGTGACCCACCGCAGCAAAAACGTACGACAGGAAAAAATCAATGTCCATGGCAAAGTGAGGTGTTACAGAGTGAAATACATTTCTAGGATGCTTTGACCAACCCAGGAAAGTAATATGTATGTGCTACTGAACCATCCAGCAGGCAACAGGAGAAAAGCTATATACAACAGTCAAGAAAAAGTTAGGTTATATGACTGCACATACTGCTGCCATTTCCCAGCTGAAAACTGTTCACAAGAACCTTTCAGGAGGATGCGGTATTCATAGATCATTGTATTTCATAAATATTTGAAAATGACCACCCATATTACTAAACACCAGTGATGAAAGGGATTGGCCAGCCCTTCAGCAACAGAAGAAAGGCTAGAGAGGCAAAAGAAATGGGACTATGCTATATATGCAGGAGGGCAAGGAAGCTCCAGACAGCATCCATCTTCAGCAGGTCTCAGATCCAGGAACGGTTTTGCCAGGACTGTACATCAGGCTCATAGTATTTTCAAAAATGGCTGAGCTATGTAGATCCAAAAATGGCATTACAGAAACATTGGAGGAAGTGCATTAAAAACAAACAAACAAACAAATCTGTTTTGAAAATTTGTCTGACACTTGTCTGTGTTTATAAAAATTCAGAAGTTGTTTGTGCAGTGTTTGTTAGCCGCTTTAGTTACACGTGTCATGGATGGAATGGATTTCAACTAAGTATAAAGGAGTTACTATTGGCGTACCTTCAGCCAAAACTTCTAGAAAGAGATTATAAGTAAGGAATTTCTAAGAAGAGACAGTCTGAGAATACAGTTAACAGTATTTCTTTTGTCTCTCAACCAGTTATTTACCCGAACACTTTAGATCTCAAGAGACCTGGAGTGATGCAAAAGCCCTACCTCTCTTGCAGCATCTGTTTACAAAAGCTGTACTTGCTGCAGAGCCACCACAACAAAACAAATTTGCCTTCAGTGCTAATGTGCTCACCAGAAGTGTCACTCAAGACAAAAGCCAGACCTGGAGTAACAGACAGCAATCTGCATAAACATATCCAAGCCAAATACTTCGGTAAAATGAAAGCATCATCTCTAGGGCATTTCTGGGCAAGTCGTAGTATATGCAGAACTTTTACCATTTTTGGGGGGTACCTACATGCCATTAATTCTGCATACAGCCCAAATGCTAGACTGGTGCTTTACAACTCATCCCTGTTTTCTTGCATATACCACCTTTCTACTACTACAAAAATATTAAACTGACTTGATGGGGTTGTGAAATAGTATTTTGAACCAACTTACGATCTACAACAAGTCAACAGGATTCTTGCCACCAACTTAAGGACAGCAGGAACATGCTTTTACTGAGAAATAAAGAGAGGCTGTTTGCTGTATTTGGGCACATGTACCTCTGTTACATTGCCATCATAATCTGTTGCAATTCTCTTGGGTCTATTTCTAATACAAACACATAAACCAGCTCTATCAAATGCAAGTAATGACAATTTAAAATAATTAAATATTTTAATATTAGGCTTTGAGGACATCAGTGATCTCTAATCAATGCATGAACCCCCTTGCAAAGTGCTAGAGTCTCTGTGAAAACACATCGTGCATACTTGAATTTTCCAAAAAAAAGTTTTGGCCATGAAATGATGAGCTGTGAATATGTAATATGGTTACCCCTGCATCTTCACAACAGTGCAACTACCATTACTGGCAGTGCAAGATTCAGATACTAAGTACTATCCATCACTTTGAAAATGTCATTCTAATACCAGCCTGACAGCTCCAAGGCACAGCTTCCCGGGAGATAATCTAGCCCTTGTACAGATATTTTGAATATCCACTTCTGAAACTTTCTTTTCACCTCAAGGGCAAACTTGTGCTTATTTATTATTACCTATAGAGAACCACAGGTATTCATGCCTTTTTTTTTTTTTTTAAAGCATAATGCCTTTGTCCCCCAGAAACAATCATATTCAGAGCTATCCCAGTCCACAGATAAGGCAGTGATCACCTGGAGGCCAAAGGAGAAGTGGCATTTCCAGAGTCCCTTCCCATAAAGTTCCTGATTGATGAGCACAGTTACATGACTGTAAGGCACACTGCAACAAAACATATTTCCCCCCTTGACCGGTGAAACATCTGGGGTTGCTCCCAGGTATCCGTAGACACTAGGCCTACACCCATCAGAGCAATATCGTATGCATGGCAAAACTCCAACAAAGAGCACCAGGAGCAAGGTTAAATATCAGTCAGGGAGGTGCAACACCAAATAAAAGGTGAGATCCAGTGGGAGGCAAAAGATTACAGGAGCGCAGGATCCTGGGGTGCTCCTGTTACACACGCATCCTGAGAGCTCTTCTGTGCTTTTGGTTTTAATTAACATTTGTTAACATATGGAGATATTTACCCAGAAGGAAGGTTGGTGGAGTGGTTAAGAAACAGTCTCTCTCTCCCTTTCCCCCATCCCCTTCCCACTGGGGCACTGGGTCCAGTTCTCCAGCTGGTATAAATCTGCGGTGCTCCACTGATTTACACCAGCTGAGCATCTGGCTTCAAGACATTTCCGATTGTATATAAAAAGAACAGCAATGTGGTGTGCTACTTATAAATCTCCCTCCTGAGCCAAGGCCATGGTCCTCACTGGTGCCCCACTTGGTCAATGTGCCCCATCCCATCTCACGTGGCATTAGATGGACACAGCCAGGCCCACTCCTGGCTTCTGTCATGTGGAGATAATGGGTGCAGCATCTTACTTCCCATTTCCTCTTACAAAATGGAGGTGTGAGAGAGGAGGGAAAATTCCTGCCTGCTCCTTCCCCTGGCTGCTTGGGGAGGATTAGTCAGCCAGTGTTTATAAATTGCTCTGAAGGGGTCAAGTACAGGAGCAATCGATGTCAGCTTCTCAGCATCATATTTAACAGCTGTCCAAGGGTTGCTTTTAATTTCTTTTAATAACAGAGCAAGTGACACCCACTGCCAAGCCTTCAGCTTGCAATGGCAAAGCCTGGCCCCGTGCTGCTGTCCCGTTTTGCAGGAGGCATCATCTGGTCCTTGCACAGGTCCTGGGAAGAGGCAGTGCAGCTCTGGCCATCACTCCTCACAGCTCTCAACAGAAAGCACCCACTTGCAGCTTACTCCTGCCCTGCTGCCCCCCACCTCTCGCCCTATCCAGGCACCCTGCTTACTCAGCTTTCCAACCACTTATATTAACGTAAGGGGAAAGATACCAGGACTTCTCCATGAGCAAGTGGCAGGAAGGTGGCCTGTCTCCTTTGCTTTCTGGCAGACCATGATTCTGCCATTCCACCAATGCTTTTCTCAATCTTTCCCTTGGTTTACTGAAGAAAATGTTACTCCCTTTATAGCAGTAAGCAAATTTTCTTCAAAATTGTTTGGCACTCAAATCCTCAAGCTAGTAATGCTTTCAAACTTACTTGAATTCCTTTTCCTGCCTGTCTTTTATGAGGAAAATCTTGAATTGATATATATATATACTTCATTTATATTTAAAGCTGCATTAGTTTCAAAGATAGGTTTAGTGAGAATTACAACAAAATTTTACATAGTAGAAATCTTTCTGCATTGTGGACATCATGTTTTGCTGATCCTTCTGCATTCCTGTCACAAACATGACAGCCACAATAACATACGATCACTCATATAGCAGTATATGCCACCTCTGAAGGGAGGCATAGAAGAAGAAGAGAAATCATCTCAGGTGAGAGCAACAGAAGAACAATTTGCTTGGCTGTGATGGAAATGTTCAGTCTGGCTGGTGCCATAGCCAGCTGTGGGGCCAGGAAATGTCCCCTGTTGCAGTGAGTGACAGATCTTGCTATGGGTAAAGCTAGGAAAGGACAAGAATCTGAACCAGCAGCCACCCCATCTTCTCCAAGGCCACCAGAACAACTTTGTACAGGTTTCCTGTGGCCAGAAAGTCAAGGTATTGCCTTTCCTCTGGATCCCACAACTCTGGGGCAGCTGTGTACTGCCAAAGGTGGTATTGCAGTGCTCACCACATCGTCGTATGATGCTCAGAGAGGTAACAAGATATTTGGCTTTAAAGAAGGCAAGGATGCAACCTCAGCCATGCACTTCCTCAGATCCCTGGGAGTTTTGCCACTGGCTTTAACAGCCGGGCAGTCGGGGTCACTGTGTGGTGCTTAAGCAGCCCCTCTGGAATCACAGCCCTAGACTGCAATTAATGCTGATTTATTCTGGGTGACTACAGTTCAACACAGACTAGTACTGGTCTGGCTGCCACAATTCATCCTTGAGATTTACCAGTAAAGGCAGCAATTCTTTTGATCTTCCTAATAAAGAAAATTGGAAAGCATACAATTAGCCTTCTTTTTTTTTTTTTCTCTCCACTGACATTTGGATATGATACGAGTAGTCTGAGGGGGAGCTCTGCTTGGAGCAAACTGCTCTTCCAGTCCTGCTGCCTATGAAACACTTAAGGATTTAAAGGCTCCCAACTCCACCCCCAAATATGTCAAACGTGTAGGGGAAAAGAGCTTCAAATAAGAGTGAAGGCATGTCCTGGGGTAGAAAGGATGGAGTGAGAGAGGAACTCACTGCATCATATGACTGCAAAGGAGCTTGCTTTACATAGCTCAGGCGGTTAGGTCTAGCAGGGATCAAAGGTGTGACCCAAATCAGTGGCTATGACCAAGCCCACAGCTGGGTGAGAAAAGAACTCAAATCTGTCTTTCGACATCCTTTGACTAGGAGCTGCTTGTTCACTGCTCCTCAGGTGCGGCTCAGAGGGGGCAATGACTCTGGACAAATAGAGCAGCAAGTAAGTGGTCAGCAGGATACAAAGAAGCAAAAAAGAACCTTTCTTTGGCTGCAAGAAGTGAGACACACACCCTCCTGTACAAAGGGCCCACTGAGGTGGTCATTTATTCATGCTCTGTGCATCCTCCTTGTCCTTGGAGACATTTTCTGTGTGCCGCTCATTGTTCATTCAATCTGCAGACAAGATGTGAGTACATGGCAATAGCTGGTCTAATGACAGCTGTCCTGGGCTGAGAGAACTCACAAGCCCTTTCTGAGAGTGGACAGATGGAAACAGAAGTCACCACCCTAAGCAGTAGGTTAGGCAGCAAGGCTTGAACAGAAGCTAAGCCACATGAGCAGGGTGGGGGATCCTGCAGCAAAATCCCAACAAATTAGTCCTGTCCTCCCACCCCTAAGTATGGTCGTGATTATTTAAAAGCAAGGGAATACCAACCATTACATCTGTACAAACACGCCACAGGAAACCAAACTGTAGAGACACCAGCAATCAAGACCAGACTCTTGGTTTGTTTGTTCCGATATCAACATCCAGCAAAGACAGCCCCCATCACAGCTGTAATTGGCACAGCAGTAAATGCTCCTGAGGCAATGTGGAAGGTGAATAGGGCAAGGTGGGCAGAGAGAAAACCTGGTCTCTCTGGGATCCCCTACTCTTACAAAAACAACTTATGAACTGCTGCAGAGCAAGGCATAACTAAATTAGTCTGGGGAAAAGAAGGGTCACATAAACATGTCCCAGTCAACATCATTCTCTCTGGCATTTTGCTTGACGCTCATCCTGAAGTTCAAGCCAGTAAGCTGCTAGAGAAACCATTCAGCTACAGATTCTTCTGTCTCCTCCTGAAAACATCGAATAACCAGAATATTACTCGCAACCAGAAATGTGCCTGCTGTTCCTTGTGAGTCTTGCAAAGTGTAGGGCATACTTACTTTTCCCACCAACAATGATAAAAGGTTGGTTGGTTGGTTTGTTTGTCTGTTTGCTTTAATATTAAACATTTATCCTATGGGGGATTTCTTCTTTGGAGGTTAAAATAATGAGGGAGACCAGAAATTTGTTAACAATTCACTTAATGTGGCCCAAATGTTCATGCATTATCTCTGTTCTTGAATCTTGGGTGCCAGTTAAATATCATACCTACTATAAAAGAGCCAGTTATAATGCAAGCATTAGCATCTAGCACACATCTACTCAGAAGAAACAAGCCCATGCAAACTATGAATATCTCAACTTCAAAAAATCTAGGAGAGTCTCTTTTAAAAACCTCCAGGAGGAGACTTCCTTTAATGCTGTGAGTGCCTTCAAGTCATTCACAAATTAACAAGTACAGAGAGTATTAGTAAACTGAGTAGCTTAAGATGAGCATGTGGTCTTACTCTCATGGGGGAGACAGGATGTAGAACCGTGCCTTTCTGCATTAGAAGACCATACCAAAGAAAACCAAAAACCATGAGGATGCAGAGAATTCAGCAGCACACTTTTCTCCAGTGGTCTTCGTGTGTCCCAGACATCAAAAAAATGAGGGGAAAATTCTTTTGTCTTTTGCCATCCGTATAGAGGAAAATCCATCTCTTGTGCATGCTGTATGTCTCTGTAGTGCATCAAGCATTAGCACGCACAGGCATGAAAAACAGTGATAAGATTAATAATAACAATATGTATTTGTTGCTACAAATGCATTCTTTTGCATCAAGACCTCAAGTAAGTTAATCGCTTGAGTAAATATTTAAGAACATGCTGAAGCCAATAGGATTTAGGTGTTTTCCCTCTCTGGGCCCTCAGTACATAAATATGAGCTTCTATTTGATCATCTCCCAAAATCAAGAGAACAGTAAGTGAATGCAGAACTCACCAGATATCACCAGATCCTGCAGCACTAGAAGCAGGGACACTCTTTGAAACTAGCAACAGTTTAAAACAGGTAACAAAAAATACTTTTTTTACACAGCAGGTAATGAATTTCTGGAGTCTGTCCCTGCCTTGTCTTCTTTCCTGCCCCTCATTGGATAAAAACGATGCTGCCTGCCCCATAACCTCTCCCAAAACTCAGCTATCATCATTCCCCAAACTAGGGAATCTCGCACAGCAGAGGGGTATCTGCGTTATCAGAGAGAAACAGAAATGAGAAATTAGAGAAATGTGAAAAGTTGAGTCACTTTAAGAACTACAAAAGATACCAAAAAATAGATATAATAATACTTCTCTCCTGTTTTGGAGGGGGGGGAAGGAATCTAAAAATAACAACAACAACAAACCCTAAAACCAGTTTGCTCCAGTTATGATAATCCAGGCATAACATTTATATGAGAACATAAAATACAGCACACAGCTGTAAGTAAAACAATATGTGTGTTCCTGAATAATGGTAAAATACTTGCCAATAAGGATATACTTTGAGCAAATGAAAGATGACCTGAAATTGACTCTAGAGTAACAATTTGATTACTTATAAAAATAGGAGGTAGGGAAAAAGAAAAAGGGAGAGGAAGCGGTGGTTGGGAAGAGCTTATGCTATGTGGTATTTCATGTATTTACTTTGAAAGTTTCCTTTTGATGAATAATACAAACAATGCCGTAACAGCCACCTTCATGCCAAAAAATAAGATTGGCTAGGGATTTTACAACTAATGTGGCTCTACTCACACAGATTCTCCATGTCAGAAGGCCACGTTTAAGCTCAGATGGTGAAACTGGAGCAAAAGAGGTTGAACAAAGAGCTCTGGAGGCAAAAGGAGAGAAGAGCATGTGGCACAGCTCCTTGCGAGAAAGCTTACTGGCTCTCTGGCCTGCAAATTGTTTCCATGCCGGTGTGCAGAGCAACATGCTAGTGTGCCTTGGAAGAGACCCAACACGCTTACCAGCTAATGCATTTCTGTTTTTTAATATCCAAGGTGAGCTCAGTGTTCATAAAAACACAAGATTACCAGGCTTGTTGGCTGAAGTAATCCCCCACCACAGGTTAGACATTTACCCCCTGGGCTCTTGGTCCTCCAGGTATAAGGCAGAGCTGCCAGGTATGAGGCAGGGGAATGAGGGGGGACAACACAACCCCATGCCAAGTTATTGCTGGGAAAGCTTGATCTCTATGTTTGCAAAATATTTGAGAGGAGGGTTATGATGCAGGGCCCTGGAAAAAGCCGCAGGTGAACGGCAGCACATTCCCAAGCAATTAATGCCCACACTACCTCTACCCTTCTTGAGCCTTTATCCCTCACAGTCATCGGCATGAAGGATGTCTCTGTGACTCCCTGGACTCTCATCTTTCTGTTGATGCTGCATGCAGTCATATTTTCTGGAACAGCAGTGGTATAAAGCAAGAAAAAGAAGGAGAATCAACTCATTTCACATCAGTTTCAAACTTCTCTACAGTTAAAAAAACCTTCTGTGGGCTTCTCTCAACCTGTATTTGAACCCTGATTTCACCCCTGTGAAATAAACACCACTCTCATCCCTGTCCCTCTTCTCCTTTCCTATATGTGTAATGAACCTTTTCTCTTTGTTGTTTCTCTTCACTTCTGGATTTTTGCCTACCTACTTCTCTCTTTCTGAGACGTTTCCTTATTTTTAAGTATCATCCTAAAAGCCTTTAATCACTGCAGAATGCAATACAGAGGTCAATCACAATGCATCTCTGCCTAGCTCAAAAGCTGAGGGGTTTCCTTGAAAAACACCTGTTGAAAAAGCCAATTCCTTTCAAAGCGATGAGGGAGCAAACTTCAGGCCTTCTCCTGACTTCCAGATAATGTCAACTTACGAGAAAGCTCCCCATGATACACAAATAAATATTTACTATATGAATTAAGCAATGTTTCCTGCTTTGCAAAAACAAAGTTAATGTTTGAGATAGGATTTTTGTCCAGTGGGTTTCTGACATACGGTGCTTGTTATGGCATCCTGACAGGTTTCTTCTTCACTTTCTCAGCAGGACCTGTTCACAGGAAATAGGAGGACCAAGATTTATGAACTTAGAGCATCATTTTGTTGCTTTACATGACTAATTCAAAAGAGGTCAAGCACTGAGAACTGAAGATGAAGGAGCAAGTATAGAGGCAACATGAAGAAGTGAACCCCATTAATTTTTCCCTTGGAAATAATACAGAGAGGATTGCTTTCCTTGGAGAGCATGAGTTTGTAACAGAAATGCTGCCACCATTACTGGGATGACTAAAATGCAGAGTGCAACTAATTCATCTTTTATACAGATCTGTGTCCACAGAGAGTAAAGTCTTTAGAAAGCAATAAGCCAGCAGAACATCACAGTTATTAATCTGGTGTATTTTTCTCTTCTCTCTGGATATATTTATTAGCCGTGCATGTAACTCTAAACAAAACCCTTTCCTATGTCCTTTTCTTACGTTCCCCTCCTTTGTTCTTTTATTGGTTTAAGCTGTAACATACGGGGTCAAGAAAATCATTCCATTTTTATTACAAGTCTCTATAAATAATAAGTCATACATATGTTAGGAGTAAGAATGAGAAGTAATTATTTGCCAAGGTCTGTCTTTCCTCGCAAACAAAAAGCAGACATAATTTGTGTAGGTTTTTTTAATAAAGTGGGTATCATCACGTGCACTGAGCACAGAAAGGCCTCATCTGGAAGGACAACAAATGAGAAGGAACCTGTTGGCACCTTGGCTTCAGTGAACCTGTATTTCAGAAGGCTTTTCACCAGTCATTACTGGGGTGGGGCGAGAGGGCCTCCAAGTCACATTAATACTCAAAACACAGATGATCCCCTATCACTCTCCTTGATGTTAGGCTTTTTCATTCTCTTTTATAGGAGGATATAGGATTTCTTTATAGTTTGTTCCAGAAGTCTACCTGCATTCCCCTTTTAAGAGGGTAGTTGATGAGAAAAATACCTTTTCATTGCAGACTGAAAAGAGTGATACAACTCAGATTAAGACCTGCATTTTCTTCCCCTGTCCCTGCATACACCAGTATGTCTCATAGGGGAGTCTTGGGTACTAACAAGCATTCAGATGATGACTGCCTCAAGGGGAAGCATGCACAGGTCATTGTCTCTCTTCACTATCATCTCCCTTGCTTTTTCCCCAGCAACGTAGAAAAGGAACCCTTCGGTTTTATGCACTACTTCAACCTTCAAGGCCTCACCAAGTACTTTTCCTTTCCTGAGTCACCACCTATATAAACCAGATACTTTAATGAGGCTTGCCATTTAGGCTGTGAGCCTTTCTCTTTATTCTGCCCATCAGCCACTTTGGAGAGATGGGAACCAATGGTAACTACAAAATTATGTCAAAGTATATCCTTGCCTTTCTCACAGCAAGTTTCTTTGCTCTTCTATCCACTGCCACGAATCACACTTCCTGCATTTCCAAGGACTGCACAGGTAAGCGAGTTTCTGTACAGAAACACCCAATGTGTTGCTTCAGTGTTGCTCCCTTGTCTTTTTATCTTTTATTTTTTGTTGAATTTTGCACCATTTTACAACACATACATTGTTGCTACATTGTGATAAGCTTTTAACTAGTAAGGAAGAAGCTTTTACAGTTGTGTTTCTGAAAAGGCTCCAATTTATTTCTCATAAAGATCCTTGGGATAAAAAGCAGACTGAAGTTCAGGAGTAAGTTAAATGAAAAATTGAGGCTGCTCAGAGGGAGATGTTAAAGGCTGACTGGCACAAAAGGGTACTTTCTGGCAAACTTCCCGAAGCACTAAAGAAAAGGGTCAAGAGTCATCTGCTTAAGTAATGATCTCCAAGGAAAAAATATTGGCTGGCCAATCCCATAACTACAATGCACTATTATATGTATGTTCTTATAGGCTGAATGCATCAATTATACTCATCATGTGGCTTCTTGTACATGCTTAACTTGCTATTTCCTTTTATTCAGTGTGATAGCACATAAATTAATGCAAAGGCATACATGAGAGTATTTTATACCTTCTCCCCTCTGTTTTGAATTTCGAGTATCAGTAGTTTCACTATGAATAATTTAGAGGGAAAAACTTTCAGAACTGAGGGGGGTAGTAGGTCATGTCTTTGTCTGCAAGAGAAGTACTGTCCACTAACCACATTTATGCAGGATGGGAAACAGCTTTGACAATCAATAGAGCATCATAATTTCTCTCCTAACAGGAAATGAGGACTCAGTGCACTACTGCAGTTTTAATTTAAATGCAATTTAAAAGAAAAAAAAACCCAGCACCAGATGCTCATCAGAAGACCATTAAATGTTATTACTATATGCTATTTCCCTTAGGAACTCTCATGGTTAAAAATCAACAATAAGCAGCAGCCTATATCCTTTTGTAGTGAATCTCTTCAGCTGTAGTTCAGTTAAGAGGTCTGACAGGTCACAAGACTCATCACAAGTTTGATTATTTCTCAACAGGCAAGCTGAGATGAGGATAATTGACATGTTTTTACAGACCTCCTCACCGCAAAGCTCCTCATGCTCTCCTTCTTTTAGCCTGATGAAACGTGGCTTAAGCACAGCTTTATGTCCTCTGCCTTTTTCACTGTCCTTTCCTAGATACATGTCCTGTTTAACTTCTCACGAAGGACTGAGCATTGGCCCATTCACATGTTTGTGGCTTCCTGCAGGAAAGCAACAGCACACCACAGCTGATAGGGGTACTCAACCTTCAAGCAGGGCTCCTATGTGCTGTTCAAAACAGTAATTCCAGAAAAGCTTTATATTAACTTTAAAATTACTAGAGTTTTTTAGCTCTACATACTCCAAAAAGGGCAATATGGTGTACCAACATCTCAACTCTGCATCTGAAGAGACCCTTAAATTCACAAATACAGATCTTCGCAGGGCTTTGAAAGGTTTGGGGGACTTAAGTGGCAATCACGCTTTACCTGTTCACATTTCTTTTCCTCATTATGCAAATAAATAAGAAACATACTGACCCAGGAGTCACTTGTAATTCTCCTCCCACAATCACAAGGAAATGGAAGGATAGTGTACTGCAGGAAACGGGAATGCTGAAACCTCTCTAGACTCAACAAAGAAGTAGCCAGGATTTTCAGCATCCCTCCTAAGCATAAAAGCACAGATGGACAAAGACTCCATTCTTAGGAACTGGCAACAACCCGGTGCATCCAACTCACAAACGAGATGGAAAGAAGTGGGTTTTGATGTTAAAGAAACATCTGACACTGCTTTCTACAAGGAGGCTGGTGTTCAGATAGTACCAGCTTCATTTTGACAGCAGACGTCTTTAAGCAGTCAGCTAAGTAACCCCAATGCTGCAATGAAAGTCCTGATAATCTCCCAGGAAATTAAACCAAATGGCTACAGCACCTCATAACTAAGGAGTAATTGAACACTTTGATACGATAATTGATTATCGTGCATCGGTTAAAGCTGACAAGAGAGCATACACTCTCCAGATGACGTTCAAATTACAAAGCCACAAACTTCAAAGCTTATTTGGATTCACACAACAAAATACATTTTGTTATTTACAATGTAAAAAAAAAAAAGTATCCTTCTAAATGAGGCAAGAATTTTAAACCAGTGAATGGTGAAATGGCACAACTTGAAATAAGAAATTAATCAATGCTATCAAATGGCTTCAATCTGTCCTGAGGACTCTATAATGATTTCCAGATGATAACACAAGAGTGATTGGATGTCTCTGGCAGCAATTCTTATCAAGGCCTGATTATAACAACTACAATAGGAAGATGAAAAATTGGTTGGTAGAGGGTGGTTAAGAAGGTCTGAAGAAATATGCAAACAGTTGCTCAGTTTGGTTTAAATCTATCTGAAATGGTGGTTGTACGTAAAGGCAAAAACTGCTGTTGGTCATTTTCAGCCATGTTGAGATGCTTTTCATAAATTCAGCCAAACGCACACTGAAGAATAATTTTACTTCATGGTTAAAGCAAACCAACGTGTAGCCACTTGCAGCTTCTGCAAACTAGGAAAACATCAGCAAAGCATCTTGACTTCCTTCCTGGTTTTAAAACCTATTCAAGCTTTCCTTAATTGAATATTATTTCAACTGCCATGATTCTACCTCTACAGCTGTAAGGGAACCATGTAGTTGTTACTATTTATTTGTATTATTACTCCAGACAGAAATCAGGACCATGCTTTCCTTGACATCATGAAAAACTTTACGAAGATAAGACCCTGCTCAAAGAGCTTTATATAAATCGCCATGACCAGAAGCAACAGGTGGCTACAAGAGAGCAACAGCAGCATAAAAAATTTACAGAGCTTAAAGGAAAGTAGTGGGCTCAGCACAAAGTTAGGTCTTCAGTCCTATTACTGCTGCAGAGCTAGATTTCTGGGCTGAAACCCAACATTGGAGCATACAG